TCCTAATCTTCGTTCATAACGTGACAAGAGCGGGTGTAAAGACATGAGAGTAGTAGTAGACGCACGGTAACAATCATTAATTAAGGTTTTGGGTAGTTCCACACCAAGTCTCCGAGGTGGAACGGCTGTCAAAATCCGAGAAGACCGGTCCTATAGGGTCTCTGATGTCATTTTGCGGTACTTTTCCTGCTGTGGAAAGGCTGGCTTCCCAGCGATAAAGTCTACAATTTTCTTCCGGCATAATCGCTCATTTTCCTGTAAAATTCTTAAAATCAATTTCCATGTTTAAGGGTGTTTAGCAGTGATAATAGCGGCGATGGCATTGTACCAGCCTCCAAAAGATTTCAATGCGGGATTACTAGACCGCTGGATTTCGTCGCGAGGGGATTTTGGTTTTCACCGCGGGGTTTTTACCGCGGGGTTTTTACCGCGGGGTTTTTACCGCGGGGTTTTTACCGCGGGGTTTTTACCGCGGGGTTTTTACCGCGGGGTTTTTACCGCGGGGTTTTTACCGCGGGGTTCTTACCGCGAGGTTTTTATCGCGGGATTTTTACCGCGGGATTTTTACCGCGGGATTTTTACCGCGGGATTTTTTCAACAACTTTCTTGAATGGTCATTTATTCATTAAACTTCGCAAGCTTGGATCCGGTGGTGGGCAATTAAACATTTTCTGCTGGAATGTCTACGGGTAAAATTTTGGCCAACGTATATGGGCGCACCATAAAACTATTTGGCCGAGTCGTGTTGGTGTCGTAAAATGCGCCGTAATTGGCCTCGCAAGCTGCCGGCCCGAGCACCATAGTGCAACTTCCACAAACTTGCGATTCGAAAATAATTCCAGTACTTGGATGAGACTTGGAATTTTTGTAGGGGGTCAAAAAGATAACTCATGAAGAGGATCTGGTTATATGAAAGGAGACTCCAGCCACCGAGCAGTGGCGTCGTGTGCTTTGCGATATATCGATTGTTATGCCATTTAAACCTATGGAAAAGGATCGATAAACAGGGTGTTCGCAGCGAACACCTTAATAATCGATTATTTACCATAGGTTTAAAAGGCATAACAATCGATACATCGCAATGGACCACTAGACAAGGTACGAATTTCAGCATTCTGATACATGTTTCTTGACCAGAATTTCACGTAGAACACCATGCGCACAACAAAAATTACCCAAATCAACTCGTTATGAAGATATTTAATGATTCTTGATGCGTGAATTCAAACCACCCGCTCATGAAAACTCAATGCTCTACATGACTCACATTGCGCGCTGAACGTTATCATGACAGTCTCTGCTATATAAAAATCTGGCAACCTTAATCTTGACGCTTTAGCTCAGCTATTGCAAGTTGTTTATAGTTTGAACAGCACATGGTGGGAAATGAACATCGCTTGATTGAGAAATTTGCTGAAACCGTTCTAGTGCACGATTTGACTCACGTAGAGCTTTGAGTTTCTTGTGAGCGGGCAGTTCAAACTCCTCGTAACCAATGTGAAATATAAACGTTAATATCTTCGTTCGGAGTTGATTTCGGTAATTTTCGCTGCGCGAATCGTGTTTTACGTGAAATTCTGGTCAAGAAACATGTATTAGAATGCTTAAATTCGTACCTTGCCTATTGGTCCATTCACGCCACGCCACTGCCACGGAGGGAAGGAGCCTCGGAGCAGTGGCGGGGCGTGAATTATCGATTATCGATATTTCCCCATTTAAACCTATGGTAAAGAATCGATTATTAAGGTGTTCGTTACGAACACTCTGTTTATCGATCCTTTTCCAAATGTTGAAATGGCAGATCAATCGATATATCGCACAGTACGCTACGCCACTGCCTCGGAGAGTTGTTAGAGGTCTCGGTCTCCGTCGGAGAGGTAGACATTTGAAAAATTGAGACATGTTTAGAGCAATTTCATGCTATTCTAATTATAAATTTTATGATCATAGAAATTTCATACTCCTATTTCGGAAAACACATATTCTTGAGAGGACCACTTCAGACATTTGGGGGAAGGGGGGGGGGGCTAGCCTTGTGGCCAGCACGGGCCATACCATTTGAAAAATATGGGAAATTTATCTTCCAACGTTTAGATTTTTCGTCAAATAAGTCTGGATACTTTTTTAACTGCGATCTGATGCGCTTTGACTTTTTTGGCTCTCACAAATTACAATACCAACGATTTTGAAGCACATTGTACAAGAAACGCACGTGGCCTTTCTTTTAATTAAACACGGATATTGTAGAAAACTTGCGAATATTTTTTGCCCCTTTTTACAGATAATGGGCCTGTTGCATGCAAAAGATACAGCCGCGCGAATAATCTTTTTAAAGGTTAAATGACACGAAAATTACGATGGTCACATTAAAAAAGTCTGAAATACACTCCTTACTGCGCAATTTGCGTTGTTAGGAACGCGCTTTTTCAAATTTCCCGCGTCTGGGGGCAGTTTTCTAATCACCGGAAAGGAGCAAACGGCGGGCTCGGTGATTTCCGGAAGATGCCGAGTCGTTGTTGTTGTTGTGATTTTTTCCTTCAGTTTGTTTACAAACCCAACGTGATCTCTTATAGTTGTCCATATACGCTTTATGCGCTAATCAAATCGATCAACTTTTAAATATCCAACGCAATCCTCCTACATTTCATTTCACGATATCACGAGCTCCGATTTTTAGGTTATGTTGTTAGTTTTAGTTGACCGGAAATAGCCGCGAGTTGCCGTTAATTGTTTCCGTTAGAAAACTGCCCCCAGACGCGGGAAATTTGAAAAAGCGCGTTCCTAACAACGCAACTTGCGCAGGAAGGAGTGTATTTCAGACTTTTTTAATGTGACCATCGTAATTTTCGTGCCATTTAACCTCTGAAAAGTCTATTCGCACGTCTGTATCTCTTACATGCAACAGGCCCATTACGGTCACCATTCAATCCAAAGCTGCTGAAAATGTCTAGGAAATATATTTATAACTAATAAATAAAAATAAATATTAGAACGGGAAAAACTTGACAAGGCTCGAGTGTGCATACGAGGTTTTCCATAGCACGCGGCAGTAGTCTGCCATGCTGAAGAAAAACGCCGTATGAATATTCGCGCGTTGCCAAACTTCCTCCAGTAAAATGTTTATTTAAAAGGAAAGTTAAGAACATTTTCTCATTAAATTTTCAAATAATTTACATCTGACCGCGAATACAATTCTCTGAAAAAATCGAGGAACAACATTTACAGATTACCCTGGAAATTCTCTCCTTATCAATGGAAATTTGGCAACATCTAATGGCCCATACGGCGTTCATCCATACTACTATGCTAAGGAAGATCGCCGTATGAACATTCAAGAGTTTTTGGAAATTGGAAGGAAAATATTCATAAGTTTACCAGGAACTTTGTGTTTTATCCAAGGAAATTGGGCAACGCCTGAAGGTTCATACGGCGTTTTTCCTTAGCACGGCAGCATAGTACGGCAGGAGTGTCCTCTTGATTTTGGCATTGCTCGTGTCAGCGGTTAAATCTACAGACACAGCAGGACTTGGGGGGGATTTGTGAGGGATGCCCGGTTTCAAGGGTGGGGGGGTGCAAGTGGAGAAACGTCTGACGGGTATTGTGTGCGCTTTCAATCTCTCAGGATACGACAGAATGCTATTATATTTAATTAGTTACCTCCTAGTTAATTAGGACCCACGCACTCGCTCATCGGATTAGCATCGGCATAGCGCAAGGCTTTTGACTGTCACCCGCCATTTGCATATTTGGGCCGACGATGCTCTGTGTCCAGTTTTAGTTGGAGTGCGCTTTTAACACCCGAGCTCTACGTCACCAAAATGGGGTTCTTTAATTAGGATCAGTGGAGCGGGAGATAAAATTTTAAAGTTGCAATAAACACATTTTCACTAAAACCGCAAAAGTGCGAGTGTCAAGCTTGGTTATCCAAAATTTTCGTACCATCATTATTTTCCAGGCAGAGTATCTCTGTAACATTTTGTACAGCACTGTTATAGACCGAAAAGCTATTCTTTTTCTCATTTTTTTTCTCCTCCTCCTTCTCCTTCTTCTTCATAGGCGTACTTAGGTCATTTTGCTACAGGGGGCCTGGCCCCCCTACCACCGGGGGATCAGGTGGATATGGAATACCCTTCAGTCCAAAGAGGGGTCCGCGGGGTCTCCTCCGGGAATTTGCTGAAATTATAACCCTGTTTGGACGCATTTTGAGGCTTCCGTGACGCAGATTTTCCATTCATTTTTGCCAAAAAATTACGTTTATTTTTTCACATTCAGCAAAGAATCCTCTCAAATTGTTGCATTGAATGGATCCGGAATTTTTTTTTGTAATTTTAAAATTTTAACTGTATTTGGCCCCATTTTGTGGTCTCCATTACGAAAATTAAGAAAATACTGTCAAAGTAAATGTCCTCGGTGTTTTCAATTTAGACTCCACATGAAAAAAGAAAATCATCCTTGACGAAGGTCTTTTCCCACCATCCAGAATTTCTGGAAGGGGCCAGATGATACTATTTTCAATTCTAGGGGGACCAAGACCCCCCTGGCTCCCACTTCGTACGCCACTGCTTCTTCTTCTGCCTCCTCTTCCATCCTTAAATATATGCTGCATCACCTCTCCCCCGTGTTGGTAGATACGAGTGCCCCGTCTTTATGTCTTCGGGCTGGACGCTTCGGTTGTCGCGGTACTCACGGTCTCGCGGTAGGTAGCGAGCCCACAACCATCTCGTCTCTCAGCGCGCCTTCAATTGCCGCCCAGGCCACAAGCGCAGCATCTCCCGCCGTATTATCTCATGATCCCCGATGACGGAAAGCTCGAGCTGTCAACAGCGCCGAAATGTTTATCTCCCTGGGCGGCGCGGCGGCGCGGCGCGCGCGGGCGGGCGGAGGCCTCGTTAAATTAGACTCGACTCGGGCGTGCGATCGCAGCTCGAATTGACACCGCGAAAAACTCACGAGTCAAGTCCACGTCCTTGGGCCCGACTCCCGGCTTCTACTTGCTGCTCCGCTCGTCCCAAACAGAAACAGAAACGCTCCGGCCCGCCAGTTGATCGCGATTCGGTGTAGTGGTCAGTGCTTCCGCTCCCTCCCCCGCCCCGCTCCCCGCCGCCGGGAAACCTAACCTCAAACCCATGGCGGCCACCAAAACATCCCTGGAAAAGCTCTCCAAGACCGACACGATACACCTGCGCAAACGGCATGTTGGGTGAGTACCCTAACCCTATACCCCATTCTTACGAACCCAATGATGAAATGGACTGCATTTCGTAATTGGTAACTATGGTTTCTGGCTCAGGTTAGAAACAACGTTAGAACCATTCTGCCGTGCCAAGGAAGAACGCCGTATGAACCTCCAAGCGTTGCCAAATTTCATCTGATAAAATACGAATTTTTGGGGGAAATTTAAAATATTTTGCTTCCAGTTTTTCAGACTGTTCTGTTCGCAATTGAATCTAAAATACTCGAAAATTTGAAGGATAAGTGTACACAAATTACGTCAAAAATACATGTTTTACCCGAGGAAATTTGGCAACCCTCGAATGTTTATACGGCGTTCTTCCTTAGCACGGCAGCATTAGTTTCCCAATGCACATAATTGTTTTTACAGACGAGCCAGAACTTGTAGTTTCAACTTTGAGCCAACGATGAAACGGACTGCATTTTGTAATTAGGAACTAAAGTTCCTGGCTCAGTGTAGAAACAACGTGAGTACCATGCATTAGTTTCACCAGACACATAAGCGTTTTTAAAAATGAGCCAGAACTTGTAGTTCCTTTGAGCCAACGATGACATGGACTGCATCTTGCAATCAGGAACTATAGTTTCTGGCTTAGTTTAGAAACGACGTGAATACCATTAGTTTTCCTACGAACGTAAGTGTGTGTTTTTACAGATGAGCCAGTATTTGTAGTTTCAAATTGCAAAATGTAGTTCAAATTTGAGCTAACGATGAAATAGACTGCATATTGCAATTAGGAACTACAGTTTCTAGCTCAGTTAAGAAACAACGTGAGTACCATTTGTTTCCCCATGCGCATAAGTGTTTTTACAAATGAGCCGGAACTAGCAGTTCCAAATTGCAAAGTGCAGTCCAAAGAGTCGGGAAATAGACCCATCTTGCTGGGTAATATTGTAAAAAAGCACACATTGTTATAAGTCGCAGTTACGTGGTGAAATTGAAGCATGGATGGGTGCAGGAAGAGCATTTCTTGGTTGCGGTATTTCAGAATCTTCGCTGCTAATTCACATTTAAAAGAGGATACACTTGGGTGACTTTTCTGAAATTTTACGTTTTCAGCACTGTAAAGTCATGAAGAATCCTCTGTAAAAGTTACGACAGATCACATGCATGAGCTTTAATCATGAGAGATTAAACTTCAGCGGAGATTTTGAGGCACAGCAACCAAGAAATGTCCTTTTTGCACCTAACGCTTCAATTATCCTTACTGCATAAGAGTTTCGCGCACGTTGCCTATCTACTGATTGAAGGAACACTTTATATCTATTGGACTTTATTGCCATAAAAGTGAAAAGGTTAGAAATTGTCCTCGCATTGCATGTTGCCTATCGCTGTAATGCTGAAGATCTTTGAAATCGGCATTTATTGACCTAATAATATGAAAATATTGCAATTTCATGGGTGGAAAAGTTGCAAGTTTATTTCAATATTTTCATTGCATCATGCTCTCCCAAGTAGCAGTAATTCGCGATAACTAGCGATTTTATCGGTTGATTATCGCGATTGTATCGGTGGCAATTTATCGCAATATTATCGAATAAAAAATTGCGATTTATGGCGACTAAATCGCTATGCATCGCAATTTTTTGTTCAATAAAATCGCGATCAATTTTCGTCGATAAAATCGAGATTAAATCGCCATATATCGCGATAAATTGCCGGGCGATGAAATCGCGATTTTATTGCAACAAGATCGAGGATAATCACTCAGATGTTGATGATCTTAGCGATTTTATCGCCGACAAAATCGCAACAAATTGCGATTTTTCTGTTGAAAAATGCTACTCGGGCCTTAGGTGTTTCAATATTGCCTCAATACCCTCGGGAATATTATAGAAAAGAGATGCAACAATGCCAGTGGATGTAATATAAGCTCTGGAGTTAATTTTAGCAAAACCATCGCTTTTTTTTAGCCTGAACATTCATCTTTATTGTGTCGCGACACCTTGCACAACCTTTTATTGGCTCATATTGCTGTCAATATTGTCAGGCGATTGTACCTAAATCTTTTCAAAAAATTCCTTGAATCAGGGGGCAATTTTTAGGGGGATACTTTGTTGCGGGGTGCTGACTTTCCGTAGGATGCGGTTGTTTTGGAATTTTTTTGGCATTGTTTCGCTCCAATATCACTAAACAGTTTGTCCCATTTCTCTCACTTAATTTCACCAATACAAGAGACCCTAGAGGGAACCGAATGGTTATTTGGCTTTGCTCTCTGAATTGATATAACTTGTTTTGCAATCAGGAGAGAGAAAACAAGGTTTTAAAAATTTTACAAAAAAAATGATTTTCGCAGCAACTTTGACTGTTATGGTTAGAATTATGTAGTTTTTAGTGGTATTTTTGCGATTGCGAGAGGCAAAGCAGCGAATTTTTAACATGTTATGATGCTGTCACCGGAGGAAGAAAATAATGAAATATCGCACAGACGAGAACTGGCTCTAAGTAAATAATTACTAGGAGGGGGCATTCACGTGAGATCGGAGCCAAAAGCATGGTTGTTGTTGAACAAGACACTTGACATTAAGTGACATTGTTTGGAAACGTTATCGTTGATTACAGAGAAAATAACCATTGCCTCTTCATGGTCATGATATTTTTTTTTTTTCGTCGGAAAAAAGGGGCCAAAAATTTTGCGCAAATTAGCTCAAATTGGGATCTACATAGTCCGGTCAGTTTATAAAAATATCAACAATTGTTAAGAATTAGGAAGAATAAATTAAATAAAATTAACAAAAAAGCGCTTGCTTTCACTTCATCCAGTAATCTTACTTACTTTTTTTCGCAAGAGGCACTCTTGGGGCACCCACAGGGCACTCATAGAACCACTCAACTTTTTATATCTCAAGTTTTGCGTAAAACCGGTTAATTGAAATAACAATAGAAAAAATTTTCACCAAGCTCGCTCTATTAATGTCAAGTGAGATACATCTCTATTTCCAAGTTTGACGTATGATCAGAGGTGCATGCGCTAAGACCGTGGATCACGATGTAAACAACGTAAGGATTGTTTTATTGTTCACTGGAAAAGAAACACATTGGATCTAGAGTCCAGACTCTTGAAAACATTGACAAGAAAAAGGACTCTTGATTCAATCAGATTTAAGCTTAAATCAAAAGGAAATCCGCTCAAATTAAGAGGCTTGGTTCTTGATTTAAGCTTAAATCTGATTAAATCAAGAGTATTTTTTCTTGTCAATGTTTTTAAGAGTCTGGACTTTAGATCAAATGCGTTTTTTTCCAGTGTTCGCCAAATTGTGCGTTCCTTTGATAACGAACGAGGATCAGGAATATTCTGGACAAAAGATTATCACAAAAAATAATCTCGCGTGGGTCAATTTTGTAACCCTGGTAGGAAGTTACGTTGTTTCGGTAGGGAAACAACGATTTGTAGAGAATTTAAATGGGGGAAGAAACATTAAAATTTATAATTTTAGGATAGGATATGTTGTGGAAATCGTCATAATTCGTAGCCCCTAAGAATTGAAATTAAAAAGAAGTAAACTCCTCCTCCTCCTCCGGACTACATTTTGCAAATAGAAACTATTTCTGCATGGCCCAGTTTAGAATCAACGTATGCACTATTAGTTTCCCTATGCGCCTATGTGTTTCTCCGGATTAGCCAGAAATTATTGTAGTTCTGATTTGCAAAATGTAGTCCATCAATCTGTAGAATACTTTTTAAATATGTTCTCCAGCAAAAACTCAAACTCCTATTTTTCGACCCAACTTGTAAAAAATCGCTCACGTGAAAAAGTTGCCGCTCTACATTGAGACCGTTTCATCTCCAACAGGGGCGGACTGGCCATGGGGGCGGGGAGGCGATCCCCTCCTAAAAATTTGCCGCGGAAGTTCCAAAGGGGCCCCCGCGGCGAATATTTTTCAATTCATCGTTTTTTTCCCCGTAATGTTGTAATTTTTCTATCCTTTTCAGTCACTAAAAGGCCCCGAAATCCTTGAAAATTTGTCTCTAAGAAACATGAAAGGTCACCTAAAGCTTATGTGATGAAGGGGCCCCCGAAGAATCCTGAGAATGGGTTATTTTGAAGTTCAAGTACTGTAGAATTTAACTCAGATAATGCTTAAAATTGAAATTAAAAAGTGTGAAATTTTCAAAATTTTCCGGGGGAGGGCCCCCTGACCTTCTTAGAGGGGCCCCCGAACGACATGTAGGGCCCCCATATCTAGGTCGCCTCCTAACTTTTCGACTACCAGTCCGCCCCTGATCTCCAACAGTCACATCTACATATAATCATGTAAAATGTAAATTACCCCTATCAATCAGCTCCAGCGTGAAAAATGACCCACACAATTGCAGATCAACAAATGATATGAAATCGTACATCGAAAAGAAAATCATGCATCGCATAGAAATGCAGAACTAGCGAGCAACTATACCAGTCTCAAAATAGGATGTCTTGGAATTAAACGACTAAACTGCAAACGTATGTTTCACGAGTCAAAGTAAGACTTAATTCCCTCTAATTTTTTTGTAGTGAGGTCGTTCAACTCTAGGACACTCCGTATATCCAAATTGGTGCACGGACAATACCGATAGTCTGAATACCGGAGAGAAAGTCGTTTTGCCTGCGAAAATTATTGGTTCAGTAGAGCTTGCATTTACGGAAATAACTGAATCGGTCGATTTTAAAAACTAATTGTTCAACTTCATGATGATCCCTCACTTGTAAGCATTCATGGGAACTTCAGGAGTCATCAGTTAAAGAGACTTGCTGATTTCTCACACTAGCTAATTCAAATGCCACAAAGATCGGAGGTCCGCACTACCGCGCTAAAGAAGAATGTCGTATGAGCATTTGAGAGTTGCCAAATTTCACACAAAACATGTATTTTTGAAGAAATTGTTGCATCTTTTTTCTTTAAATTTTCAGATATTTACCAAAACAAAAATACCAAACAAAATCGTCCTAAAAATTTGAAGAAAATTATTCACAATTTTCCCAGTA